CAGGTGCATCTATCAACATGCTTCCATATTTATGTCTCTGTCAACTATAATCCAAGCTTCTTAAGGGTAACACACATCTTCCTTATTTAATACTATTTATCCAGCACCTACATCAAAGCCCGGCATCTAGGAGACAATGAATAAATACTAATTACTGAGTGACATAAATGGTCTTTATGAAATACAAAGGGCAAAAAAGTATATGGGGAGAGGAGAATGTCAAATCACTAAATCCACAGAGATGTTAATTAACAGTAAGAGGTCAATTTTTCCTCAGAAGTAAATATTTTAGTGTAATGGTACCTTTGTGATCAAAAGCATGAAAAAACCCTGGAAATTTCAAGTACAACCTTCCTAGCATATAGTATTCCTAGTATACCTCTTCCTTGAATTTTTCAAAGTGCATATCCTTCGACTAGCTGGAATTTAGGATAAAATAATCATGTGTGCAAGGACAAAAGACATCCCTATAAGCACATGGCACTGCTGTTTGTAACTGAAACAAATTTTATAATCAATCATTAGGGAATGATTAAGTAACTGATTAATGGAACTAAATACTATTGTAGCCAACTAAATCTGATCATGTAGAAATATTAACATGAAAAATATTCGTGATACACTTTCAATGAAAATAAGCAGATGTATGCAAGAAGCCTATTACACCTATAAAAAAACACTGTTATACATAGACACATGGACCTGCTACAAGCTTGAGGATGTAGTAAGAAATGGAACACAAAAGCACAAGAAGGTATCATAGCAACTAACTGCCTTTTCCAACAGTAGTTACATCACTTGCTCAATACTAATGATGTCTCTTATCCCCAGCCTGATGGTAGAAATGGTGATAAACCAGGTAATCATGGCTGACAGATTTTCATGGCACTGGCCACCCAATATGGGTCACTTGCATGAGCCTCTGGGGAAGCACTAGGGAGCTACCCCATTCACTGCATCTGTATCTTACCTATCCTTTGCAATGGTTGTGTATAGATATAGCAGTATACAGACGAACAAACTAAGATGTAGCTGAATCTGTTGTTAGGAGGTGAGGACTAGGGGAGTCGCTGGGGATACAGTCTATACGTGAAGGGCACAGTTCTGTTCCCAGCTCCTCTCTTTTGCCTCTGCTTCCTAACTACCTGAGGTAAGCAACTTCCTTCCACTATGTGCCTCCACTGCGCCATTTCTGCCTTGGAGCCAGCCAGCCATGAACTGAATCCCCTAAACCATGAGCGAAATTAAACCTCTCCTCCCTTAAGTTGTGATATCAGGTATTTTGTTCCAGGAATGGAAAAACTGACTAAAACACATGTGTACAAGTCACAAAAAATCTGGAGAAAATCGTGGAAGAGTAGACAGTGGTTTTATACATGACTTTAGCTTCCCCTTTTTGTTTAATTGTATTTTTTTACTTTCAACTAACCTTCCACTTAAAATAGTTTTGTCAATATCTCAAGTTTTATTTAGCTCAAATTGGCTATTAGTTTTTTTAAGGAAAAGGTAATAAAATCAAGGCACAAATTCAAGAATCTATCACATTACACTTGAATATTTCAGATTTGATTTCAGCTCAAAAAGACTAGCCATCAAAATTTTGACTTAAGATGAGCATAACGGGGCTGGGGATTTAGCTCACTGGCAAAGCGCCTGCCTGGCAAGCGCAAGGTCGTGAGTTCGGTTCCCGGTACCGGAGAAAAACCAAAAAAAAAAAAAAAAAAAAAGATGAGCATAACACCACCCATGAAGTAGACCTCTCCCTGTGCTAAATCAAAGCAGATTCTACTCATCTTCTAGAGTGAATTATCAATTCACAGAAGGATGTATTAAGAGATACAAGGAGGCAATCAGCAAAATCCAGACTACACTAAGGGGAATGTATACGACAAATGATCAAGTTTCTTCAAGAGAAAACTTAAAAGAAAAAAGATGAAAAGAGATGAAGGAGAAACTTACAGACAAAAAAGAAATTTGAGAGGAATCAATTATTTTCAATGTGTGGGCCTTATTAGTTAAAAAGAAATTACTACTGTGTAGGATTGGAGATACAGCTCAGTAGTAAAGTACTGGCCTACCACACATGAAGCCCTGGGTTTGATCCCAGCAGCCTTCCCCAAAGGCTGTTGTTCTGTGGTTATATATTTTAAGGGATACTTTAAAATCATGTAATTCACTCATTCCAAATGTACTACCCAGAGAAATTTACCAAGTTTGACAGTTACCACTATAACTCAATTTCTGATTATTTCCATTGCCTCTATGATTCCACATGCCCATTAACTATTAATCTACCCCTCTGCCTCCAACTCACCAGCCCACACTAATCCACTTTCCAACTCTATAGATTTGCCTTTTTCTGAATATTTCACATAAAAAAACCCACAATACGTATGTAGTCTCTTGTCCAGCTCCTTTCATTTAAATTATAAAATAGTATTATACAGTATGTGTGTATATAACATCTTTTGTCTATGATTTCCAGTTTGGGATATTATGAGTAATGCTGCTATGAGCACTTTGGTGTGAAGTAGCATGAGGAGATACATGAGAATGGAACTGCTGAGTCATTATGGAATTTTTTTTTTTTTTGGTACCGGGAATCAAACTCAGGACCTTGTGCTTGCCAGGCAGGCACTGTGCCACTGAACTATATCCCCGGCCCCATTATGAAAAATTTAAGTTTAGCATTTTAGGAAAGTGTCAAAGTGTTTTCCAAAGTGGTAGCACCATTTTACACACCCCTTCAGCAGTGTATGAGTGTTCTTGTTTGTGGTTATGTTTTAAATTCTTATAATAAGAATATTATTATTATAATATTATTATTTCTTATTATTCTTATAATAAGAAATATTAAGGGCTAAAATGATATTTGGGATCTAATTAAAAATAACCCGAGTGGGGGAGGGTAACTCGTACAGGGTCACAGCTTGACAGTTGTAGCAGTGTTAGCAGTACTACCAGCCACTTCCTATGTAAGTACTTAGTACATGTTAGCCCATTTAATCCCTGCAACCTAAAGAGGAAGCTATTATGAGTGTCATCATTTCAGAGATAAAAAACAAGAGATCCACAAAGCTTAAGTAAAGTGGCCAAGTCAAAACTATAATCAAAATAGGCCCACAAGAGTCTGCTCTAACAACTGGGCCAAACTCACTAAAAAGTAAATTCTTCTCCCAGGATTCAAACAAATAAGGACAAAGAAATTAAATACAAAAATTCACACGGCTTCTATAAAATGTTAAGTAGAAAATCCAACGTTAACTAAATGTAAATATATACATATATATAGTAAAAACCTGTTATCTCTGGGTGGTACAATATGAATGATTTTTATTCCTTTTATTTACCTGTATAGTCCACTTTTGATACACTGGTCAATATACTGATATTGAACACTTGGCAGTATTAAAGCATAACAATTCAAACATTATACAAATCAAAAAATATACGCAATGAGTTCTATGTGACAGGCCTGATCTCAGTGCCGGAGGCATACATTTGATTAAAACCTAGAAACAGAAAGGCAAGGCCAGAGTGACAAGTTAGCTGTTTCAAGTGCTGTAGCAGAGCTATTCCTTCAGTGGAGTCAGTTTAATCATCCTGGGGGCTGGGAGGCCGCCTGAAGGACGAGACATTCCCTCCCCAATCTGAGGGAACGAGGTATGTACAAATGACTTCTGACTAGAAGCATTTCATCAAATAACACAGGCACTTCTTGACTAAAAATGAAGGCCACGCTTCAAATGCCAAATCTTTAGTTTCTCCTACCTCAGATTTCGTCAACTTCAAATACCCTTCTTAAATTTCTAAAACTTGGAAAGTAGATTTGGGGAAAACAAAGAAAACCTGTCCTGTGATATTAGAATATAATTAGACTGTACAAAATCCTTAAATATGTATACTGGTTTTTACTCATTATATTTTAGTGTGGTTTGATCATAATCAATCAACACATCCTTAAAATTTCATCTTAATGATACTTCTGAAAACTTACTATGATCTAAATCAAGGGCAGGCAAACTATAGTAATAGGTGGCTTGGTTTTCTAAGAATGCTTTTTAAGCGAAGACTGCTGTTTTACAGTTTGGGAAGGAGGAAGGGGAGTGGGAGGCAAAGAACTGTATACATATATATGGCCGGCACACTAAAAGTGTCCGGCCCTTTCACAAAACGTTTGCTCACCCCTGAAAAATCTCTGAATGATTTCTGTTCACACTGGAGCTAAGATTAAAGGCCCTCTAACTGCTGTGGAACTCAGACTAGACATCAGCACGATTACTTGCTTACAGTAGGCGCGAGAAAGGGAGGTCTCTGAGAGAATAAGCCGGAGTGAGCAGTTTGCTCAGAAAGATGTGGCTTTTGGGGGAGGTAAGGGAATCCGAAAGGAGCACAGTTAACACAGAGAGTGTATGGAGCAGGCCTAGGGCCTTTATAATAAGCTGCTCAGGTCATAAAGTGACTATTGATGTTACTGACACACAGGTGTGAGAACTAGGTCTCTCGGCACCCTGAATCTGTATGCCCAAGTTCAGAGAGCAAAAAGGTGGGAGACCAAGAACTAGTCAGCGGAGGTGACCCTATGGCACGAGTAACACAACAGGTGGTTATCATGGACAGCGCTAAAACGTTTACCATCACTGCAGAGACCGAACTCCCAAATCTCAGTTCAGCTCTTCCTAATGGGTGACGTGCCCACTCCCCACAGGACAACGTTAATGTGGAGATATATGACTATCAGCTGTCACAGGTTAGCTCCGTTGCCTTCAGAAGGAACCAAGTTCTTCAGGAGCTCCCCTCCTTCTCCACTGATCAGCTATTTTCCTGAAAGAACTGAACACAGGGCCATGCTGATCTGAAGGGGACAGAGGAAAGAGCAGCAACTAGCGCTATTTCCTAGAAGTGGAAGATAAGCGAAAGTGACAAACGTCATTAAAATACGCCCTAAGACATCCAATAACTTTCTAGCAATCAGACACATCAAATTTTAAGTAATTTACCTGGTTCCAATTTTATTACTTTAATTGCTGCTAATTCACCAGTGTTAACATTCCGTGCCTAAAAAAAAAAGGAAAACAATTATTGTGATAAAAGCTTTCATAAGAAACTATAAAATGGCATGCTAGCTTACTGCTTATTTTGAAATACACAGGCATTTTAAAGCAAAAAACCAGGCAAAGTGATTTATATTTACAAAACAAACAGTATTATATCCTTCACAATAAATTTCAGCATTTATTTATGTATCAATTTAGTACTGGCACTAGTTAATCCACAGGCCTGTGTGTTTGCACCAGGCACTGCTGTGGTATTTGTATCCATTCATTTTGATCCTCACAACACTCCATGAGATAGGAAGTGATATTACCATGCTGCAAACGAAGAAACAAGCGCAGAGAAGCTAGAAATCCTGTCTGTGTCATATACCTGGTGAGGGACAGTGCTGGGACTCACTCCCAGGCAGTGTAGCTGCAGACTCCAGGTGTGTAAGCAGTACCCTACATAACCATTCATTCAAAAGCAGGTAAAACTTTTGAGTTGATTAAGTGGTCTTAATTTTTTTATTTAAAAAACTTATAATATGAAATGCAATTATATTCTTATGAAAAAACCCCCTTGCATCCTTTTAATTCTGACAATGCAGTCAAATAAATATATTTAGGACAAAAATATGCAGTACTGAGATTGAACCCAGGGCTTTGCCCACACTAAAGAATACCCCAGCACTGGAGCTATGATTAAAGGCCCTCTAACTGCTGTGCAACTCAGACTAGACATCAGCACAATTACTTGCTTACAGTAGATAGGAGAATGCGTAGGAAGAGGAAGAGGTTTCTGAGAGAATCAGTAGGAGCAAACAGCGCCCTTTTTATTTTAAAAGATTTTTATTTATTTTATTTAGACATTTCAGTCTCTTGTTATAAACCTCTAAGCCTCTTTTTTTTTTTTTTTTTTTTTTTTGAGACAGGGTCCTGCTACGCAGTTCAGACTGGCCTTGAGCTCACTTTGTAGCCCAGGTTGCTTTCAAACTTGCAACGATCTTCCTGCCTCAGCCTCCCAAGTCCTGGGATTACAGGAGTGTGCCACAGTGCCCAGCCCTTAGCCTCTTTAAAGTATGCTTACCACAAAAAGAATAATAAATGGAACAGGCAAAGTTTTAATTTAGTATATTATAGATATGGCATTTGAAATCATTTATTAAGAGGATAAATTTATTCAGTGGTTTTCAAACTATGATGGCAGGACCCCTCCCAAAGGAATATGGCTGGGCCCCTCCCATATAAGGGAGATAAGGACACAAGAACTATATAAAAGGCGAAACTCTGCCATGCTTGGGGCTCAGCTTGTGCATGAGAATCTGCTGAGTCAGTGCTGGCATAAGCAAATGCTACATCCTGGAAAAATTCTCTCTGCGAGAATCCTGCTACACCACTCCCTGGAGTTTTCTTGGGGGCAGTGGTAAATGCGGAGGTAGGATGTGCTAGCTGGCCAGGATTCCTCTCCTTCCTCACTTCAACTATACAGATCTGTTTTGCATATTGAGGTTTTCAGTAAGCTTTGAACTAAAGGGTCTGTACCTTTTTCACTGAGAGAAAGCCTCTAGTAGTTGTGAACTTGAGCCCCTCTGCTCCCTTTGTGTTTTACTTTGATAAAGGATCTAAGTTGCCCAGGCAGGCCACAAACTTGCAATCCTCCTGTCTTAGCGTCCCTACAGTAGTGAAGATTACAGACATATTCTACCACACCCAGCTCATAAACCAAATACATTTTTGCAAACTCATATTACAAATAAAAACAGCTGGGCATACATACCTATAATCCTAGCACTCTGGAGGCTGAGGCAGGAGGATTGCTGTGAGTTTGAGGTTAGCCTGCACTACATTGTGAGTTTAAGATCAGCTTGAATTATGGAGCAGCGAATAAATGAATAAATAAATAAATACCTTTTAAATAAATAAAAATAATTTTAAGATAGTTCAAAATAGTAGATTACTGGTATTCACAACTGTATATATCTAAATAAGCAGAAAGTGGCTTTCAGTTTGTATAAATATAGCATTGTTTGTTACTATAAAAGGCTTTATAAACTGGATCAGAATTTTGAAAATAAGGGGCCAGGGATATAGCTCAGCAGCACAGCACTTGCCTAGCAAGCGTGAGGTCCTGAGTTCAATTCCCAGTACCCCCCTGCTCCCCAAAAAAGAATTTTGAAAATATTTTAAATTGTGAACTGAAACAAATTTTCACATCAACCAATAATATGGTATATGAAATTCTCTGATCACAGGAAGAGCCATTCATGTCACCAGGGCTTTTCTTAGCTGCAACACTCCCTTACTAATGGATTATTGAAGATCTCTGAATCATCTGGAAAGAGCTGATAACACCATTAACAGAGGAATCCTACTAAGAATAACAGGGCAGTAGAAACATAAGGATGTAAAGGAAGATACAAGGCACTGCCATCATTAAATACAAAATTAATTTTTTAACTCAGAAAACAACAAAGGTATGAAAGAGCTTCCCATCAAAGTAATAGAAAAAAATTAAATGTAATTTACAGGGGAAGTTCACTTAAAATTGTTCCTTCAAATAAAATCCCCCCCATAAATAATAAATGTATGCCCGCTTAGGGGCAGCAGAACAAACTAGATCTGAACATTTATTTCAAACTGACTGAAATTCCCACTAAATGAGATCAAAGTTTCAAACAGCGCTGCAAGAGCACTTCCTTTCTCCGGGATGAACAGATACGTAAGTGACGAACCAGAATACCATTCAGGAGCGTCTGCAAAGGCAGGCGGAGCGCACCTGTAAAACATCCAAGTGTCGCACTTTAACTTGAGTCCTAAAGCTTCTCAAACTACCTTTACTGACCTCTCCTCATATTCCGACATCTTTCTTCCTTTATATCGTCCTTCAGACTACATCTCTTTTAGCATCTTCTGCAAGTAAGACAAGATGTTTTTCTCTCCAATTCTCAGTATTTTAAAGTCATACAATGGTTTTTATGCTTAATGGAAAGGAATTCAGGACTGGGAATGTAGCTCAATGAGACAGCACTAAAGGATCTGCCTGCCCTGGGTTCAAGCTCCAACACCACGAAAGAGGAAGGAGGGGAAAGGAAGGAAGAAACTCACATCATGAATGAGTACTACTATGAAACAGCTGAGAAATGCAAACTTATACAAAGCTAGGGTGATGGTTTATAGCTGAATTTTGTTCACCGCAACCACAGGAGGGCACACTAGTCACAACACAAGTTATGCAGCGTCTGTCCAAAATGTCGCTGCACACAACGTACTCTGCTAAAAACAGATTTACTAATAGTTAACACCAGCATGTATTTAACAGAAAAACCCTAAGAGTAAACTACTGAGTATTCTACCAAAGTCAGTACTTACTACAGGCTTCACTTAGGACTGTATTCCAAACTGTAATCAACCCAGACTTTTCTAATGATACTGCTCTTTTTGCTTTTTCTTTTTGCTTTCTATGATGTCTGAAATCCTTCTGTTTTGAGACAGGATTTCACTATGTAGTTTAGGCTGGCTTTAAATTGCTCATGTAGCTCAGGCTGGCCTCAAACTCGTGGCAATCCTCCTGCCTCAGCTTCCTAAGTGCTGGGATTACAGATGTATGCCACCCCACCTGGCTGAAATCTTTTCTAATATGTAACTTATCTGCCAGTACCACTATTTCATCAAAGGTTTTTTTTTTTTTTAAAAAACCTTCGTGAAACTTCCATTTCTGAGCCATTCCTTATCAAAATTCAGGTTTTTTAACGAAGGGTCTTTAAAACACAGATATCCCAATTCTTTGGTAAAATAAATATTTTGCTACATGTAACTTTTTTTCCTCCATAACAGGGATTGAGCTCAAGCTCTCTGCATTGAGCTACATTCCCAGTCATTTTTTATTGTTTATTTTTGAGACAGGGGTCTCACTAAATTGCCCGTGCTGGGCTGGAACACGTGATCCTCTCTAGCCACTGCACGCCCAGTGCTGGGATTACAGGCATGCATCAGCATGCCCCACTTGCTATAATTTGACACTAACATAAATTTAACACTAATTTGACACTAACATAAATTTAATTTGACACTAACATAAATTTAAAAATCAGTATTATCACTAATATTTTGCATCTACTATTCTTTTTTTCAATTACCTCAAGGAATTTATTTTTTAGAAAATGACAGCAAGGTAGATATTGTAAGGTATTCACATGTGGAGTTAAAAGCTGTTTAAACTGAGTATTAGTAACATAAAAATTTTATACTTTCTAAAGACAGAAAACTGGGGTAAATATTCTGAGCATCTAAATCTAGTCTTCCACATCACTGATATGACCATCTCTTTATATGCTCCCAAACGAGGTTCTAAGGAACACACGCCATTATATTAAAGACAGAACTCCAAATTCTTCTTGTAATAGCTTACCTGGGGTAGAACCCTTTCGCCATGTGTAACTCAGTACTTTGTAGTACACAGTTATGAAATCACCACTATCGAATTTCAGAACCTTTCCATCACCCCGCAAAGCAACTCCAGCCTCATTACAGGTCCCTCCTGCTTCTGTTCTCAGTTCCTGCTAACTACTTTCCTTCTCCGTGGGTGTCTCTGTTACTTTTCTCCTGTTGCTGAGACAAAACACCTCACGCCCAAAATTAAGGAAGAAAAGGTTTATTTAGTGCACAGTTTGTGGAAGTTTCAGTCCATACTTGGCTGGTTCCAAGGCAGGGTGGCACATGGCCGAGGGCAACAGTTCATGGCAGTGGAAAACAAAATCAACAACAGCATAAGGAAGGAGTGGCGGCAAACAGCCTCTTTCCCTCCCTTACACTGTGCAAACTACCTGCCCCAGGGTGGCTGTAGCGCTCACACCCATGAATCAATCATAAACTCTAGAAGCTTTAGGGGGACATCCAGACATAAACCATAACAGTGGGCTTGACTATGCTGAACATTTCATACAAGAACAAACAATATTTAGTCTTCTGTGACTGGTTTCTTTCAATTAACGAAGTATTTTCAGATTCTTCCATGTTGTATATTCATATACCTATTATTGCCAAATAA